CGATCTCCGACGTTCTTTTTTTTCCACGTTTAGGTAAAAACAAGATCTACAACTTTCATTTTGACTCCATCGGCTAATTCTTGACCGATCTTAAATTTAACAGTAGGAGGAGATTAGACTGATAAATGACCGCGAATAATTTGTAACTCTTTCATATGGACTCCATTTTCATCTATCTTTTTACCGTTGAGTTCCTATTAATGAGATCTTCAACTCTCATTTAGGTCGCGTAAGCCAAAAACCGCTCGAACTAAGATTCGAGTTTCAGGCTGTACACTGCTAAGCCGAATCTTAGAAAAAATCATAACTTCCTCATACGAAGTCAGATTTGGGCGTTCTTTTTATCGATGCTCTTAGTTTAACATATTCTACGAATTTCATTTAGATCACTAAGGCTAAAAAGCCATCCATCATAAATTCACTATTTACGCTTCCCGGTGCCGTGCTGGTTCCGTCGCGAAACTTCGACGGGCCATAACTTCTTCGTTATAACTCAGATTTCGGCGTTCTTTATATGTACGGAAACCTTGTGACATATTCTAAAACTTGGTTAAGATTATTTATTCTAAATAACCTTTTGTTTAAAATTCATTTTCGACCCCTATTGCCTCTAAATTGACTAGCCCGGATCTACGGGCGTTACACTGGGCGTACAAGGTGTACGCTGTGCGTGCTCGCGCGTCTCATTTGGACGCGTTCCCCCTTGGGTACGCTGGGCGTACCCAAGGTTACGCATGGCGTAACTTGCCCAAATCTAAAAACCCTAATCTCGTTGGAGGGCTATAAAAGGAATGTGTGGTTGGACTTCTCAGCCACCACCCCTCTGAGTGAAACCCTAAATAGTGTGTGCCTTCGTTATTAAGCCTTTGTGTGTGTATTCTAAGCTTGGTGGTGCCATTCCAAGGTTGCAAAGGAGAAGAAGAGCTCATTGGAAAGGCTAGAAGTGGTGTTCAAGTGTAGATCTGAGCTTTGCAAGGGTTAAAGCTTCATTATTAGGTAAAAAGTTCAGATCTTGTCACTTGGTTCATGTTGCATGTTTAAAGTATCATTTTCTAGGGTTTAGGTCCCAAAGGTGGAGACTTTTTATGCAAATGGCCTCTATAAGCTTAGATACTTAATATTTCTGATCTATTGGAGTTGTAGACTCATAAAAATGGCATCTTGGACGTGGGTATTGCACCATGCATGAGATCTAGGTCCTTGAGTTGGAATAGAATGTTGTTATGTGATGTTGGAGCCTTTACAGCCATGCCAAGGCTTAAAGATCTCGACTTTATGGGTTTAGACACACTAAAAGAGTTGGATCTAGAAGTTGGAGTAATGGCTTAACCGATTAAGACCATAAATGAAGAGTGTTTGATTCTGATGGTTACGCTGGGCGTAACTTCCAGTACGCGCAGCGTACTGGGTGGAGACCCCGATCCAGGGGATTGACGATGTACGCCCCGCGTACATCTAGCAGTACGCCCCGCGTACTCTCAAGGTTGACTTTTGTTGACTTTTAGGGTTTTGGTCAACATGAGGACTTTAGGTCAAGGAAGGGTAAAATGGTCTTTTACCCTATGAGGAATGATGATAAGGGGTAAAGTTTTAGTGGTGGAAGTCTTTGTGTATTAAATGATGTTTTTATGTTTAGGCGAGGTAGAGTCATCATTGGGATTCGGTGATAGCAAGGACGCGAGATCTTAGACTTTCCACGAGGTGAGTTTTCTCACTATACTGTACCCGGAAGGGTTCGACTGTGTGACCGGAAGGTCGGATATGTTATGAGATGTATGCATTATGTGTGATAAGTTATTCGTTATATGTGCCATGTATGATATGCTTGATATGGGCCGGAAAGCATTATGTTATGGGCGGAAGGCGAATATGTTATGGGCCGGAAGGCGTTGTGATGTGGACCGTAAGGTTGACATGGGTAGGACCGGAAGGTTTACCTAGTCGGGACGGAAGTCCCCTGAGACACATGGACCAGAAGGTCTGGGCCTGGAAAGGCGTATGTGCGTAAGTTGTATTTTGGGGAACTTACTAAGCATTTATGCTTACAGTTGTTGTGTTATGTGTTTCAGGTACTAGCGAGGACCGTGGGAAGGTGCCGGCGTGATCGTACACATTGTCGGGGAAAAACTATTTTATGATAATTGGGATGTATTTGTTGTGACAATATTATTCACGTTGAATTTGAAATATTAATCGATGTTTTTGATGTTTACAAAAATTAAAAATTGGTTTTAAAATTTACGTCGTTACAACTAGACTTATCCAAGTGGGAGACTGTTGGATTAGTGTCTAAGCCCGTAACCATATTTGGTAAATACTTGACCCGATTGTGCATGGTCCTTTTGGGTTGCCTTCACCAAAGCAACTGGACTGGAGAAATAAATAAAGAGGTTATTATGATTTATTAATATGTTATAAGAATAATATATTAAAGGAGAAATCATATTTGTTTAATTAATATTGGTCAATAATTAATTAAGAGTTACTTTTGTGATCAAGTGTAATTAATTAAACTAGAGGGGCTGAATTATAATTATGTGATAGTTAAAAAATAGGGTAATGGTTATCCTTGTAGAAGGATGGACGAATTCAAGGGATTGGATATCCTTGAAATCGTCCATATGGTCCAAGAGATAAGGGTTATCAAGGCTTATCTTATGATTGCTTGGTGGGCAAGCAACTAGATAAGGATAAGGACTGGAACCCTAATCTCAATCCTATATAAAGACCCCTAGGCCTTAAGAAATCATCCCACTTGCTTCTAAGAGATCCCTAGGCCGATTTCTACCTCCTCCCCTCTCTCTCTATAGTCTCTCCAATTTCTTGTGGTGTTTGTGAGTCATTAGAGGCACTACACTTGTGGTGCTTGCTTTCAAGACTTAGGGTTTGAAGATTTAAGTTGTTATTTCAATATAACAACAAGAGGTATGAGATCTAACCTTATATATTAATTTCAAAAATAGCAAGCTAGATTAGGGTTTTATCCATGTGTTCATAATGTTGTGTATCTAATAGTGAAAACATAGATCCAAATCTAGTGTTGCATGCACACATAAGATTGTTTGTATAAAACCCATCAATATCCAGGTGGACGTGAGGATGAATTATGTCGAGAGGCCAATCACAATCATGGATCGGAAGATCAAGGTTATGAGAAACAAGGAGGTTCATGTAGTTCAGGTTCAGTGGCAACATCGGAGAGGGTCCGAGCTGACTTGGGAGCTAGAGTCCGAGATGCGGGAGCAACATCCGCAGTTATTTTCGACATGAGACTTCGAGGGCGAAGTCTGGTTCTAGTGGAGGAGAATTGTAACATCCCGAAACTCAAGTAAGCTTTATAACCCTCTTACTTTTGAAAGTTGTCAAGATAAGTCCCTTAAGTTAAACATTGGACTTATGAGTACGCTGGGCGTAATGAGGTGTACGTTGCGCGTACTCGCGCACTTATTTTGGATGCGGACTCACTTGGGTACGCTGGGCGTAATGTGCCCAGATGCAAACCCTAATTATGGATTGTGCACTATAAAAGGAATGTTAAGTCCTTTACCCCAACCACCATACTTCATTGAGTGAGCCCTAAGAGAGCAGAAAACCCGTTTTGAGCTTGTGTGTGTGTTCTTAAGCTTGAAGGTGCCTTCTTAAGGTGAAGAAGGAGAAGAGGAAGCCATTGTTGGAGCTAGAAGTTGGAGAGCAAGAGTAGATCCGAGTCCTATAGAGGTTGGAGCTCCTTTTTGAGGTAAAAAGCTCAAAGCTTTCCTTACATTTCATGAGTTTTGTTTTATGGATGCGTTTTTAGGGTTTTTGGTTCAAAGGTGGAGACTTTTTGTGCAAAGGGTCTCCATAAGCTTAGATCTGGCCTTTCCCAGTGTATTATGTGATGAAAGTTCATAAAAATCCAATCTTGGTCGTGGATATTGAGTCATGCATGAGATATGGACTTAATATGGAAAGAGGAAAGGTGTTTTGAGGGTGTAAGGGCCTTTACAACCATGCAAAGGCTTAAAGGTTCCGACTTTATGGAATAAGAAGTTTTGAGGGAGTCAGATTTAGAAGTTGGAGAAGTGGGTTAACCTTTTAAGACCAAAATCCATGCAGTAGCTGAACTGGGACTTACGTTAGGCGTAATCCCAGTACGCGCAGCGTAAAGGGTCGCACACTCCGATTCTGTGAAGGCACCGGGTACTCCCAACGTACATGTTTGGTACGCGCAGTGTAACCCGGAGGGTTGACTTTTGTTGACTTTTAGGGTTTGGTCAACTTTAGGGTATTTAAGCCATGAGAGGGGTAAAATGGTCTTTTACCCTCCTGAGAATGATAGGAAAGGAAGGAGTCTAGCCTTGGGGAAATGTATTAATGTGAAGTGTTTGTTATAATTAGGCGGAGGCTAGACCCGATTCACAGAGTTCGAGATTATCCGAGATACTGAGGTGAGTCTTCTCACTATACTGTACCCGGAAGGGTACCTATGTGTGATCGGAAGGTCTTGTATGATATGATGTATGTGCTATATGCGATTATGTGATATTTATGTTCTATGTATGTTATGTATGCTAAGGACCGGAAGGTCAAAACGATATGGACCGGAAGGTCAAGAGGGTATGGACCGGAAGGTCGATACGGGTAGGACAGGAAGGTCTACCGGAGTTCGGGATGGAAGTCCCCTGAGACATATGGATCATAAGATCCCATAGAGTATGACTTGGAAAGGCGTATGTGTGGTATGTGGTATTTTGGTGAACTCACTAAGCATTTATGCTTATAGTGTTGTGTTATGTGTTTCAGGTACTAGTCACGATCGTGGGAAGGCGCCATCTTGACTCGTACACACACCAATGGATTTGGATATGTTTTGATCTTGGGATCTAATGTTATGGATTGATATGTGATGCAAATGATATTTTTAAAACCATTATGAATGAAAGTGTGTTTTAAATGTGAAAAATTGTTTTGAAAATTTACGTCATTACAGTTGAGAGTTGAGAGAAATATTACAACGTTAACTAAGCCTTATCTTCATCTGACTGTGAGTTGTGTGGTCCGGGAACAGAATCAACAAAGAACTCCTCCACTGAAAATAACATAATTAACACATTGAGGATACAGATGAAAAATTCCTTTCACTAATATTCAATAATACCTGAAATACCCCTTAATATTTTAATCCACTTGTCAAATTTAAAAACTTAGCTAAAAGTTAAAACAAGTCAAACATGTTCAAAGGTGCCCAAATGTGTTAAAATATTTACATCCTCCACAAATTACAAGATACTGATTTTGGTTAACAAATTTTGTATTAATAATTTAGTACTTGATTATATGTCAAAGACTAGATAAACTCAAACATTGCATTTTAAGGTTAGGGGATAGTGGAACTTGTAAACAGTGTTCTTACCAATGTCCTCTTGCTCAGGAGAATCAAGTAATATATCTGAATCAGAAGGCAGAAAGGCTGAACCAGGATAGTTTCCAAGAGCCCCTAGATCTGAAAAAACAAAACATAATCATACTTGCTAGTTGAATTATCAATCATTCAAACAAGGGAGATGAATGAATGGCTAATATAAAGATGGTACTCTTAGCTGTTACAAAAATGTTGGTATGTTTCTATTATGATTTATGAGCAAGGTGTAAAGAAAATGTAAGTATGTTGCTATATGGGTTAGAATTGGTAATGGCCTAACATGAATAAAAAGAAGCGTAAGTATGTTGCCTTTATGTGAGTAAAAAATAATAAAGTACATTGCCTATATTAGTAAAAAGAGTCCATTCTTAAAAAAAAACAGTAGTAGTATATATAAACAATCATTTGCAAACAATGGGCACATACAATGACAGGTAAAATTTGGATCCCATTTACCTCCTAGGTTCGACAAGTCTGTTGTTAGACCTGAAAGGCTGAAATTCCATGGAATTTTACCAAAAGATCTAGAATTTCCATTATCTTGTGGTAGATGCAATCCAACAGTACTTGCCACGTCAGATGTAAACTCCGTGTCAAGTGCTGACGTGTCAACTCCCATTCCTGATAGTTCAGATGTAGTGAAGGGAGAATGACCACTGGATGCCACTGACGTAGGACTTATAGGCATATCTGACATAGCTGAAATCGCCCCATTAACCGGAATTGGAGTTACACGACCACCACCTCCACCTGCATTGCCATCCATTACCATACTCCTGCAACAACACATGGAAAATTTTTATCTTTTCCTTTTTTTATTAATTCATCAAATCAAAATATAATAAAATAAAACTCACTCGTTTCTAGAGTTCATTTGTATGGGATGAAAGTTACTAGGATTAGGGACTCCATTGACCACATGACAGCTAGACATACCCATGGAATTTATATGAGGCTGACCTGGAGTCCCCATTGGAGGTTGCTGTAGAATTGGGTATCCCATGGGTAGGTTGTTAACTGCACTGAAAAGAGTAATACTAAATAATAATGCTACACTTTGTAAAAGTACTTCTTCTTTCTTTGTAGCAAGAGATTACCATACTTGGCATGGGATGTACCCCATTGTGTATGGGACCCACAGGTAGCTTTGGAGGCATTAGGTACTTCATAAGGTGATATGGATGCTCAAGTAAATGATTGAAAAGGATGATATGCTTCTTCAATTTTAACCTTATGTAGTAGGCTCTGAAAAATCTGCATTCTCTTCTTCTATTCATATACAACTACAAACAACATTCTATCAAGTTTTGAACCTGCAACATTCAAGATTTATATCAACATACAAAAATCTTGACTTGTTTGTAATCAGTAACACTACAAGAAAGAAGAACAAATTCCCTTACAAGTTCAATATCCTCCCTTGAAACTTATCTATTGTCATTGCTGGGGATGGAAACCGAACCAGAGTCAGGAACAGGAGTTTCTGTTCCATTATTATTTTGGTCACTTTGAGACTCATGTTGAGTTTCCGGTGTGTCCAGGGATTCCTGCATATAGCTTCTTAATTTCCGTCACAATGTGAGAAACTAAAATTATGTCTCCATTTTAACAATTAGAATAGATCAATATGATTGAAGCAATATTAATCAAGTAATAACTTGACAACTAGTTCATATCCCTTGTGACTGCAATATAAAAAAGAGATTTCAAGTTCATAACGCAAAGGTCATAACCTGATTGTTCTTCATCGCCGCTAGATGCTACCAGAAGACATCTCTCCAAGGAAATTTTGTTGTTACCTTATCTAACTTGTTCAAAAATAACAACTCTTTGCTAAATGAATATTTTGTGATTTCCTCAAATTAACCTGAAAGATAATAGACAAAACTTTGTTACTTCGTAAAATTGAGGATATGAGATCAACGTTGTCAAGTTATTAGACAAAACTTTGCTACATATTTGACATCAACGTTGTTCTATTTACATGAGAATTATTTTTCATCAACTTTAACTCCGCAATTTTTGTTAGACACTTTAAAGACCATATCTATTTTGCAGTATAAACTCAACTCATCTGGACTGGGACGTCAAAACGCCATTAAAATTAGAAAATATTAAGAAACTAGGTTTGCAATTTCCACTAAATAACTGAACATACCAAACTTTGACTTCGATTACTTGTATAAAAAACATAATGGGTCTATGAAGTCTGGTATGTAAAACTGAAGTATAAACCTACTTAACAACGTATAGTACAGATCTGCAACAGTCAATAGAGTTTCTTTCTTTTGGTAGAAAAAAGAAATTGAAGGAGAAAGAATAAGAAAAAGATGTGTATAGTTTATGTTTTCGGAGATGAGGATACCTGCTTTTTCAGCCGTCGGCGTAGTGTTGCGCTTGGCGATAATCCAGATCGGAAACATCGCTTCAAGTAGGTTTAAAATAGTAATGTGGCAGTTTAGTGGCTGGGACCAGTGACGCCCATTTATCATCCCTCGGAGGAGGAGGGTTTTGCTATATTTGGAGTATAATTTTTTCATTTATCTTTTTTATAGTGTTCAAATAACTTTTATTTATTTATTATTTTTTTTTTTATAAATTTGGTATAGATCCTTTTTATAAATTTCTTTCATTTTTTACTAACTTTGGTTTTAACTTCTTTTAAAAAATAGTTTTACGAGCTTCTTTTATATTTACTAGGTTATAAACCGTGGAAACCACGGTCGATATATTTAAAAATTTTATATAGATAAAAAAAATAATAAATGTAAAAAAAAACTAAGATATTGTCAATTGTAAATAATTATAAATTAATTTGTTAAGCAAAATAAATATAATAATGTTATTAGAATATGATTTTGTATTTTCAAATTTGGAATTAAATTTGATTTGTTACAAAAAAATGAAATAATAAAAATAATAGAAAAATATCACGTGTCAAAGAGACATTCTAAAAAACTGACACGTGTCATTTTTAGGTTTCGTTTATGAGAGGAGATAAATTATAATTTAGTTTGTTATTTTTTTTACGGTTTGTTTTACAATTTAGTTTTTATAAATTTATTTTTACATATTTAATGATCTTTTTATTTTTCTTATGTTTTTTTTAATATTTTTCTATTTTTATAGATTACGTTTTTTCTATAAAATCACATTTATTTTATATATTTATTTTCATACATGTTGGACTTTATTTCTTTTAAACAAACATAAAGTCTTGTACATATAAGGGTGTGAACCCTAATTAAAATACGACAAAATTACACAGATGGTCCCTGTGGTTGGGACGAGAGACCAAAGATAATCCTTATGAGGAATTTTGGACGAGTATGGTCCCTGTGGTTCCAAATTGTTGCACGAATAGTCCTTATGACATACTCCGTTTAATTGTTGCCGTTCATCTAAATCACATGACCCTCACACGAGGGTATTTTCGTCTTTTGCTTGTCCCTTCTCTCTCATGATCTGCAAAACATTTCCCTTCCCTATAAAAATTAAACCCCCATCACTTCCTTCATTATTTATCGTCTCCTCTATTCTCTCTTCTCTCTTCTCTCTTCTGTGTCTTTCTAAGAAACTTTGCTTAAGAATGGTAAATTGTTTTTGTGGAAGGCAAGCGGTGATAGTGACATCATGGACGGATCTCAACCCAGGGCGTAGGTTTTGGAAATGTCCTAGCAATTGCGGTTTCATTGCATGGTTTGATGAGCCCATGTGTCGAAGGGCTGTAGTTGTCATTCAAGGTTTGCTAAGATCCATGAACAAGCTTCAAGAATCTCTGCTGCAAGCAAGTTTTGAAGCAAAAAAAGTGAAGATGATGCTAGTTTTTAGTTGGGTTTTTTTTTTCATGTATGTGTACAAAAGATGCTAATAGTATTAGTCTGGAGATGATGGTTCTTTTGCTTGTGGGTAGATAGATGATGGTTCTTTTGCTTGCTTCAAGAATCATATAATAGTATTAATTTGAAGATGATTTCGTTTTGTTTGTTTGTGATGTAAGAAATGTTCGTATGTATGAATGGAATGCTTTTTATTTGGGAAACTTTTAGTCTGCAACCATTGAAAAATATTGGTTTGGAACTTAATGAGTGTAAAATATTGGTCTACAACTTAATGAACTATCCAGATCCATTAAAGTATAAAATATGAAAGTGAAAGGTTTTTGTAGGGTTTAGACCATTGTAGTATAATGTGTAAGCCATTGTAGAGCCATAACAACATTAGAAATGTTCAAAAATAAAATGCAAACTTTTGCATAGTCATAAAGTTCATTACATAACCTTAAAGTGCAAAGTCATAATACCAAAAAAATATCAAAAGAGCTTGCAGACTAATGTATCATAACCAAAAGAACCATCTTAGTCTAGCACCCTAATGTACCATAATACCAACAAAAGATAAAGACACACAAGAACCAACTTAGTTTGACCTTTCTAAGGTACCAAAACAAACAACACAAAAGACATTTCTAAGGTAGCATAACAAACAACACAAACGACAACAAATCAAACTTTTTCCTTCATTTTGGATTTATCCTTAAGTTTGGTTTTCTCCTTTTTGCCATCTCCCTGCTTCTTTGCCTTGCTAAGCTTCCTACCCCCTGCCACCACATTTCTAACTTCATATTATCCCCCTTGTCCCTTGCAACTCCTAGAGTTGTGACCCTTGTTCTTGCATTTGCTACAAGTAACTGTAAGGAACTTTCTGGTCAAACTTTTACCTTCATTATTTGGTTCTTCAGTTTGAGCTCTCTTTCTCTTCTTTTTTGGTCTCCCCACCTGCATAATTAATAAATTATAAAACAATATAAACATATACTAACTTGTAAACTGAAAATTATTTTCCTGTTTAGTATGCTTGGGGGGTGTTAGTGTTGTGGGGCAATCTGACTTTAGCCACATACTTCTTCCATTGATAGGTTGAACTTTGTACTTGTACATTTCATTCCATGTGCTTAACCTATAACATGGATGTACCCACTCCTCAAGAGGTGGGACATTTTTTTTCCCCATGCTCAACCTTATCCCAAATGGCACTAACAAGATGGGAGCATGGTATCCCAGTGATTTCCCAATGCCTGCAACTACAGTTCCTGTCCCTCCAATTAACCACAAATTGTTCCCCCATTGTCCCAGTAACTTGAGTCTTCTCAGCACCATTAAATATGCAAGTGTATTGAGAAGCAGCTTTCTTAACTCCATCTAAAAGTTTTGTGGCTGTTGGGGTAAGTGGCCCTTGAGACTTATCTATCACATTTTGCACAATACAAATTCGTTTCATTAAGTATTCCCTAATATATTCTAAACATGTAATTATAGGTTTGTCTCGAGCATCTAACAACTTTGAGTTGAAAACTTCACATAAATTATTCAACAAAATATCCGTATGTGCTCTTCCTGTACATTGCAACAAAATATCTTATAAGAATCTGTCAAAGTGTAAATCTTCCTTGAATCTGTCAAAGTGTCTAACTGTTATATAAGGTAAATATACCTGAAATATGTGCTCTGGCCCAATGTTTGGGTGGAATTTTCTTTAACCAATCACATGCCTTTGAGTTGAACTTGTTAAAATCTTCCATGAATCTGTCAAAGTGTCTAACTGTTGTTGCTGTTGCACATTCCCATAAATGATCTCGGTGCTCCTTCCCCCTCCATTGTAGCTTCATGTTTTCGTGAATATGTCTTAAACAGAACCTGTGTTCAGCGCTAGGGAATAGGTTGGCAATGGCAGGTAAAATCCCCTAATTAACAAGTAACAAAAATGTTATTTTCTAAATGTAGCAGACAAAATTACACAGATGTCATGAACAAGTATCATAAGAAGATTAACCTTTTGCCTGTCAGAAATAAATGTGAAGTTTGAATTTGTAGAGAGCTCCAAATCTTCACCTAGACACTCTAGAAACCAACTCCATGAGCTTTTGTTCTCGGCTTCAACTATGGCATATGCTAGTGGGTATATCCCATTATTGGAATCAAGACCCACAACAGTGAGAACCTGTCCAGGGTAAGGTCCCTTCATGAAAGCCCCATCGAATCCTAAAAAATCTCTTAAACCTGCCTTAAAACCTAGTTTTAATGCACCTAAACAGACATAAATTCTCTTAAACATCCTAGTTTCCAAGTCTGCATTTGGTTCACTGTATACATCAATCTTCACAGTTGTTCCTGGGTTGCACTGTTGTAATTCTAGTACGTAATCCCTGAGAAGACTGTATTGTTTTTCATAATCTCCATAAACATGTTTCTGTGCAAGTTGTTTAGCCCTAAAGACCTTCATTCTTGACATCCCCACCTCGTATGTCTTTTGTAACTCTACACGCAAAGCTTTGACTGGGATAGTTGGGTTTCCTTCCACTTGTTGAAGAATGGTGGTTGCAAGAAACTTAGAAGTACACGCTTTAATAGATCTTGACTGCACACATCTATGCTCATGAACCAAAGTTTTCACCATCCAATCGCTTTCTTCATCAGATCTAGAAATTAATACCACCCAAGGGCATGTTGCTTTTTGTGAACTGACTGTTTTGTCCTTGCATTTGATTCTACTTTTTGTCCATGGCCCACCTGTCATTTCCGGGACCACACCCCTACATTTTGCCCTAATTCTTTGTTTATCATTTTTTGCAAAGTAAATGTTTCTCCTAGTCCGAATTGAATGCATTTTAATGTAGTCCTTCGCTTCTGATGAGGACTTAAATATTTGACCCAGATGGAATGCAGTTTCATGTACTACTCCTGATGAACACGTGGTTGGTTTGTTTAACCTTCTCATTAACTTCTTCCTCTCATCTTCTTCTACACCAGCTGATTCAAACAACTGTGTATCTATCACCTCCAAATCCTCATCAACTGTGACATCAGGTGCATTGAATGATTGGTGGTTATCTAGATTTTGAAAAGAATAAACACCACTGTGGAAGTCTTTCATATTCACTTCGACATCCTCCACCATATTAAGTTCATCCACTAAAAAGTCACTATCGTCGCTTATACTTCCATTGGTACTAGTCTCATCACTAACAGCATCTCCAGTTTCTTCATTGTCCCCCATCTGTTGGTAATCATTGTCCCCTATCTGTTGGTAATCATTATGATCCATATAAAAGAAAGGATCAAAGTCTTCTGAAGGGCCAACATCTTTGGTTTTGTTAAGCTCCTCACTTGCAGGCTGAACTCCAACATCTTTCAATACATCTCTATCAAAATGTCCAAAAGGTACAACAGACCTAGAAAAGTCATAGTTCTCATTCAAGTCCAATTTTCTACTACATGATCCTACCTCTGTACTTGTAAACTTTTTTCGATTGAGTTCCGAAGAAATAGGCTCATTGATTTCTTCCAGTACGACCTTATTTGGAGACATAAAGTATGTATGGAGTCTAGTAGTTCCATGTTCAGTATACACCATAATCTCTTTATGATTAGCGACATGCTTACTTAACAAAAGTACGTCTGAGTCGTTACTGTCACACCCCAAAACCGAGAACGGCGGAAACGTTCTGGGGCGGAGGACGTCATGTAATGTATCACAACAA